ATCGTCCCCATATTATGTTTGACTGTTTTGAATTTTCCTCCTGTAGAGGGACACGCCCGACTCAATGTTAGCCGCAGGACTTTGGGGAGGATGCTGGACGCAGATCCAGTGTCCAGAGGGGAGGAGAAGGAGGAGGAGGAGGAGGAGGAGGCGGAGGAGGAGGAGGAGGAGGAAGAGGGGGAGGAGGAGGAGGAGGAGGAGGAGGAGGAGGAGGAGGAGGAGGAGGAGGAGGAGGATGAGGAGGAGGAGGAGGAAGCGGAGGAGGAGGAGGAAGAGGAGGAGGAGGGTACCGCTGCACTCGGGAAGAGCGCGCGCTTGGCACCAGGCACCGCCGCCATGGAGGAGAGGGCGACCCTGACGGAGACCTTGTCCACGGCCTGGCCCTGGCAACGGACCCTCGCCTCCGCACCTTCCTCCCGCGCCTCTCTTGTTTTGCGTGTTGGTGCTGTCTTTCTTTCTATATTTAGATATCGTTATATATGGTTGTTGATTTCTCTCTCTCTCTCTCTATCTCTCTCTCTCTCTCTCTCCCTTTCTCTCTCTCTCTCACATGTTCTCGTGTTGATCCACACCGCCCCGCCCAGTGGCGCACGCACCCTGCGGAGTCCCAGAGGACGCCCGTGACGACGTGCGCCAGGATCAGCCCCTGGAGCCCCAGCGCCCAGGGTGATCCAACGAAGACGTCCCTCGAGACGTAGCCTCTGCGCGAGCTTCGAGCTGACCTGTATGAGCTCTCCGTGTGCACACCCGTGCGCTCCTCCAGGAGCTCCGCACGGATCTGAAGGCTCTCAGTGTCGTCTCCGCCGCGACCCGCATTGCAGCTCCCGCCAGTCAGCCAACCCCCTTCTCTGGGGCCGCGGCCGTCTGCGCCGACGGTACAGACGACCCGCTCGTTCCAGCTGCGATACAGGTGATACAGGTCTCTCCCCACCCGCAGGCCCATGCAGGCCACGGGTTCGCGGGAGTCCGCGGCCGCCGACGACGACGGGGACGAGGACGAGGACGACGAGGACGAGGACGAAGCGAAATACGAAGACGCCCGCCCTCACCACCCCGGCACGCGCGCCCAAGCGTCCTCCGTTGCTGGCTTCGACGTGCATTGCGTGCTGGCGACCCCCAGTGCTGCCACCTACAGTCAACGCCCATAGTAAGGACAAACGACTTTTTCAAGGGGACCCTTGGGTCCGTGCCTGCCTCAGCCTCTGCGGCCCGTCCATAGCAATTTCCGCAGGCCAGAATACTTCAACTTCGGCCTCCAAGGGTCGTGCGTCCTTACCACGCGTCCTTATTATACGTTTTCACTGTAGCCTTTGCGAGCCCTCCTCGGCAGCCCCCCCCCCCAGGCCGCCGCACCCCCCGTGCCGTCGCTGCTTGCGGCCGTGCCGCACGCGCTGTGCTCCTCCCTCCTCCTCCTCCTCCTCCTCCTCCTCCTCCTCCTCTCCTCCTCCTAGCGCTTCTGGGTGCGACCACCTGGCTCCTCCGAGGCCTCTTCAACGCGAGGCTCTGCCCGGCCGCCGCCCCTGCCGTCGCGCCCCTCTGGCTGGACCGAGGCGGTGGCCCCATCTCGCCCACGCCCTGCGGCCACGGCCCTACGCCAGGGACCACGGGCAATCGGAGTAGAGAAGGAGGAGGATGAGGAGGAGAAGGAGAAGGAGAAGGAGAAGGAGGAGGAGAAGGAGGAGGAGGAGGAGGAAGAGGAGGAGGAAGAACAGGAGGAGGAAGAACAGGAGGAGGAAGAGGAGGAGGAGAAGGAGGAGGAGGAGGAGGAGGAGGAGGAAGGAGAGGAGGAGGAGGAGGAGGAGGAGGAGGAGGAGGAGGAGGAGGGGGTGGAGAAGCAAGAACAGGAGGAGGAGGAGGAGAAGGAGGAGGAGGAGAAGGAGAAGGAGAAGGAGGAAGAGGAGGAGGAGCAGGAGGAAGAGGAGGAGGAAGAGGAGGAGGAGGAGGAGACTGGTCATCACTATGGAAATTACACCAGGGAAAAACCCAAATCAGTGGACGATTTTAAAAATTATGTGCATGCTATTGCGACCCCTGGCTAACCTACAGTCAACCCGCATAGCAAGGATGGGCAACCTGTCCAAGGCTACCCCACCATTGCCTCCTCGGTCCATCCTTGGCCACTTTCGCTGGCCGCGCCCCGCTCGCAGAGTGTCGACATGGCCTCCCAAGGCCCTTGCATCCTTACCGTGCATCCGTATGACACGGGTTGATTGTTCCGCCTCCCGCAGTTCTGCTTGCCGCTGCCTTTGAAGTTCGGTCCTGTTGCTTCTGCGCGCTGCCTCGCTCACGTAATTCTCTGCGGCTTCCCCTGTACAAGCCCTGCTGGCCGTGAGCCAGGCGAGCCGGCCTCCTTCCGCGGGGGCAAGCCCCTTCGGTGTGCTGACTGAGGTGATGGCCAAGCTTACGCGCCTCCGTCAATCCCTCCTCTCGTCGCCAGCCGTGCCTTCGCGTGCGGCTGGCTTCGCGGTGGGTCGGTGGGTCCCACCGCCCCATTAGTGCGAGGGGAGGCCTCTGTCCCCCTGGCGTCTGCGCCCCTTCTGCCTCTTCGTCCCCTCGGCCCGCGTCATGCCTGGCGAAGTTGCTGAGAAGTTAGGCCTGCGCCGAGGAGAGGCAAAATGCGCCCCGCGCGCCACCAGCCCTGCAGGGCAAAGTCGACCTGCTTCTAGAAGACCGACCTCTGCGGCCTGTGCCAAATACCGCTCTCACCGTCTCTCGCCACAAGCGTCTCTGCACACATCTGGGTGTCGTTACGCACCAAGACACGCTCGGTGTGGATGCGTGTATAAACAACGCGCCCTTTGCGCTCGGCGCAGTACGAGGTCGGAGAAAGGGTAGATCCGTCTGCGTGACGCTCCTGTTCTGGAGCACTCGCCATCGCTCGGACGTGTGCATTTTTCCTTCGGCGAGGACCATCGAGGAGCATCCTTCATCATTTGGCGAAAAAACCACGCACGAAACTTAAAAAAACAGGAAATGGACGTCCGAGCGATGGCCAGAGCAGGCCCCGCCTGGCACTCCAGCTCCAGCAGGCCTCGCTGCCCGAGTGCTGGCGGCCAGGGCCGGCGCGCCGCCGCCGCACCCAGCAGCGGGACCGGCGGTCGAACCTCGAGCGCGGCGAGCGAAGTGGCGAGCGAAGTGGGACGATCAGGAGACGAGGAAGGGAGAGGAGACGAGGAGGAGGAGGAGGAGGAGGAGCAGGAGGAGGAGCGAGGAAGGAGACGAGGAGGAGGAGGAGGAGGAGGAGGAAATGAGGAGACGAAGAGACGAGGAAGGAGACGAGGAGACGAGGAAGGAGACGAGGAGGAGGAGGAGGAGGAGGAGGAGGAGGAGGAGGAAGAGCGGGGAAGGGAGACGAGTAAGGCAAGATATTGCCAACCAGGCAGCAGATCCCACCGATACATGCAGCTTGCGAGAAGGCGGAGACAAATGGCCCCCGGCGGCGCGGGGAGCGCGCCTTCGCTGCCCAGAGGGGCGCGCCAGGGGCTCCGTCGGGCCAGCTGGCCTTACCGCTCCTGGACGGGACCTCCCAGCGCCGAATGTTCGCCTTTTGTTTGTCTTCCAGCAGTGGCGAAGCGTCCTGGCTTGCCTTCAGAAAGAATGTTCTAAGAACCTTCTGGGGTCTGCACGGCATATTCTTAGAACGCTTCTGGCTGAGATTGTTCTGTTTTGCTACATCGGGTTTTATGTTCTAAGAAAATGGTTTTCGTTATTCGAAAACTGTTTGGGTTTTCGTGGCAGGCCTGTCGGAATGCTGGGACGATCGGTCCCTGCTCAATTTCTGCAGGGGCGGGGTGCCCTTGACAAGGGCCCAGAATGCCAGCCCCCAGCCTTCCACCTCTGGACTTTGGATGGCCTCTTTTTCCCTGCAGGGGCGGGGCGCCCTTCCTACAAGGGCCCACGGTGCCAACCCTCAGCCTTCCACCAGTGGACGCTAGACGGGCGGCGGGGGGGGGGAGGGAAGTGGACGGGACGGGGGCAGGGGCGACGGGCTTAAGGCTCACAGGCAAGCTAGGACATGCCATGCCTGGGCCTCCCTTTCCTCCTGCTGCTGCCTCTTCTTCCTCCTCCGCCGCCTGCTCCTCCCGACCGCCCACCCAGCCGCCCCACCACCCACGGGGCCCGCCGCCTCACTACCCGCATCCGGCCGACATTCAGGGGCTGCTTGGCAGGCCGCCTGGCCGATCCCTTACTCAGCAGGCCGACCCCTTCCGCGTCGACCCCATCATCGCTTCGCCCCGAGACGCGGGCAGAGGCGGCCGCAGCGCGAGCCGCGAGGGTGAGGGGGTCGTCACGGAAGGGGCTAGTCACAGAAGGGGTAGGTTGGGCCGCGTCTGAGCCTTGCTCACAACGGCCCCCCCCCCCAACACACCCAGCCCATGCCCCCACCACCCCAGGTCAGCCGGGCCCGTCCAAGCACCCCCACCCTCACCCCACACCACCCACCCAGCAGCACTCCACCACCCGGTGAGCTCGTGGCGGCTCGCCCGCAGACGCGCCTGGCCCCGCGATCACGCAGCACCGTTGCGGGGGCAACGGTGCCAGCAGGGATAGACATAGACAGAGACCTGGGCAGGCGTCCAGTGTCTCCGTGCCCTGGGTTCAACCTCTTTTCTTCGGCGCGCCGCGACGGGGGTCAGCGCGCCCTTGGCGCGCGATGCCCCCCCGTGAAGTGGGTCTGTTCGGGGCTGTCGGCGGGCGTGGCGACCTCCCCGGGAGCTGACTGCGGTGTGCAAAGCACAGCTTCTTCGGCTCAAGAGCGTCTGGCCCACCCTGCCCTCGAGGAACGAAAATGGCACACACGTGAACTTTCGGGGGTCCGCGCGGACTGCTTGGATCGGCGCTGGAACCCCCCTCCCTGGCGCGCGGATCGCGCCAAGGGCGGCGCCAGAGGCGCCGCCAGGGGGCCCCAGCGCCGATCCAAGAGATCCGCGGACCTGCGAAAGTTCATGTTTATGCCATCTTCTGTTCCTCGAAGACTCTCTCTCTCTCTCTCTCTGGCGATGCCCGATTCCCTTGCCGGCGCGCTGGCCAAGGCCGCGACGGAAGACCTGAGGCCTGGGCTTCCCAGACTAGGTCCGAGCAGACAGGGTTCGGAGGACCGCGCCGTAATTATCGTCGATGCCTCGGCGATGCGATCCAATGTGGAGCCCGATTTCCTCCACGTCCACGCCGCCCATACATCGCGGACTCTGACGATGCATCAGCGATGCGGCGCGATCCTCTCACCCCATCTGCCCGGACCTCGTCCAGGAGGCCTCTCGGAGGGGCAGTTGCCTGAGCACGACGGCTCCCCCGCCGCAGTCGAGGCAGCAGGTCGAGGCCGCCCGCAGGGACTACCCGAGGCGCCACGTGCCGAAGCGCGCGGACCCCTTCGACGGCTCGTCCGTCGAGCAGAGCACGCCGAGGCGCATCACCGCCTTCGCGGAACAGAGCACTCGGCGGCGAGCCCCAGGGGGACGCGCGAGGGGCAGGCCTTCTCCAAGGGCGGCGACGCTTCTCGGGAGCCTCCGAGCCGAGCCCCCGCGCCCTCTGAGAAGCCGCCTCCGTCTGCGGAGGAGGCTTACAAAAGACTCCCCAGAAGGCCAGAGGCCGTCCGAGCCTTCTCAGAAGACCCGCCCCCTCTGACTTGCCCCGCGGGCGCGCCGCCGAATCGTTGCCTCCAGAGAACAGACAACGGCACACACATAAACAAACTTGCGGAGGTCCGCGCAGATTTCTCGGCTCGATGCTGGAGCCCCCCGGCGGCGCCTTCGTGTCGCGCTCCGCGCGCCTGGGACGGGGGTGGCCCAGCGCCGACTCGAGAAATCCGCGCGGACCTCCGAAAGCTTATACTTGAGCCATTTGTTCTTCTACAGGAGGACTATTCAAAAATGGTCAAAAAATAGTCGCGGGACAATGTGTCTACTATGTTTGACTACGCTATGTCTTTTGACCATGTCTTATTTTTCTTCCAACATCTGCTTGTAGGAGGACATGCCCGACCTAACTCTATGCTTCTCCCCCCCCGAAGGTCGAAGAAGGAACGGCAGCAGTCCGCGCAGGTTTCCTGCGCTGGCGGTGGCAAGCTCCCTCCTCGGCCGGGGCCCGTGTGCAGCAGGTCCGCGTCGTGTCGACCGGCGGCGACCCCGCCGCCGGCGTTCAACCTTGCACGCCGCCGGCGACCCAGAATCGATCGATGCTGAACGGTGTGACGTTTCGGGAGCGGCCGATCGCTCAGGTTATGATATTCCCATCGACGCTGGCCTTGCTCACCAGGAAGAACTTCGAGCACCAAGAGAAGTACCGAAGCCGCAGGGGGTTTTCGCGTGTCGGGCCCTGGGAGGCGATACTCGTTCGACACCGTTCCGACACTTTTCTCTCGGTGCTCGAACTTATTCCTGGGCTGTGGCCCTTCAGTGGCGGGCACGATGGGAGCAGCACGACGTTCGAGCTGGAGCGACCCCCGCGGTGCCTGGAGCGAGCGCCGAAGTCGGCACGCCACGAGCCCGCCGTACGCGCGCGCGCGCCGACCCGGGGATAGGGGCCCCGCCTGGGCCCCGGGATGGGGGGGGGGGGCTTCCGGCCAGGGTCCGCGCCTGCTCCGCGTGGGCGGCGCCCCCCGGCTGCCTCCCCGCGCCCGTGGCCGCGCTGGAGGGGGGGGGGGGCCGCGGGGAGGGGGAGGCCTCCGGCGCCGACCCGGGAAGCCAGCGCGGCCACGGGAGGGCTCCGGCGTGCGCGTGCTCTTCCTATAGGGTAGTAGGAGTCGTCCAGGGGCGCACCCGGCGTGCTGTGCCGCGCCGTGCTGTGCTGTGCTGTGCCGTGCCGTGCTGTGCTGTGCTGAGCTGTGCTGTGCTGAGCTGTGCTGTGCTGAGCTGTGCTTTGCTGTGCTGTGTGGTGTTGTGTTGTGTGTTGTGTTTGTGTGTCTCTCTCTCTCTCTCTCGCTCTCTCTCTCTGGCTCCACACAGGCTCTCGTCCAGAGACCAGCAGGGGGCGCTGCCGGACCCGGGATCGGTCGAGCGACGTTGTCTCTCGAGGCCTGCCGTTGCCTCCCCAGCACGCTGTGTTCAGAGGTGCTGCAGGGGCGCCGGTCCAAGCGTCACCCGTCCTTCTCCTGTGCACCTGTCCTTTATCCCAATCCCCCGATTCGCATTTCGATCCTCACATCCCTATCCCAGTATCCCTAGCCCTATTCCATCCCGATCCCCCCATCGGGACCCCCACTCGTGGCTCCGATCGTTGTTGCGTGAAGCTCTCTGGGGTCTTCTGCCGCACGGGTGCCACCGTTTGTTCCAGAGGCGCATCATGGGATTCGGCCTCGGCTTCGAGAAGATATTCGCCACAACCTCCCTGAAACTTCCGGGAACTGCGACGCTGCTGTACGCCGAGATGGTCACGCCCCACGACGGCAAGGCGTCCAGCAGGTGCTTCAACGGCCTCGACACGGTTTTCGACCTGAAGAAGTGGGTGTTCGAGCAGCTGCAGATACCGGCAAGCGCGTACACGTTGACCTATGCAGAACCTGGCAAGATAGGACTGGAGGACGAGATGCGGCTTTTGACGACTCAGGATTCGCTGGACACCAGAACGTTCGCAACTACCAGGGCCATGCACTTCACCCAGGCACAAATGGCTGTCAGTGGCTTGCACTCGATCGGCGACATCGGCGTTACCAGGCTATACGTTCGTTTGCGGTGCCGGGCGTGCGGGGAGCTCAAGACCCCGTGCCAAACTTGCCAGAAGAAGAAGGCGTTCGGGCACATACAACCCAAGCCGGAGGAAGACGTGGCAGCTGCTCCCGCGGCAATAGGTCGACTACACGTAAGACTGACCCTTCGTTGGAGTGACCTTTGGTGCGGGCACAGATGGGTGCCTCGATCGCCGAGCTCGATGCTATAGTAGCGTCTTGCGCTCTTGTGCTTGGCCCCCCCGCGGCCCCCAAGAGGCCGCGCACCAAAGACCACTCTCACTCAGGGTCGCTCCTGCGCATAGCCGAATAGGGGGCGGCAGCGCGGCGAACAAGATCCAGGGGTCCTCCAACCCCAGCGGGCGGCGCATGAGCGCCAGCCTCAAGGGGGCGGCGAACGCCGTCCAGCAAGTGGCGACGACCACGGCCGGCGTGCCCGGGCTCGACCCGCAGATCGAGGCAGGGGTCGACCTAAAGTTGGTGTCTTGGCGGTTTCGTGGGCCGCTTTTGCGCCGAAAAACGAAAACATAACGAAAACGGAAAACACTGGTCGTCGTTTTCTGAGTCATTGTTTTGCCGATCGGCGCGGGCCCTCGCACCCCCCCTCCCGCCCGTCCCCATGGAGTAGATTCAGGGTCTTCTTGGAGCTTGCTACAAGCAGGTGAGGTCTCCCCCATAGGACGCACGCTTCCAAACAGTCGCATTAAGAAGAGATCCGGAGCCAGACTCCCCCCCCCCCCCCCTCCTGCCCCCCCGAGACGAGGAGGAGGAGCAGGAGGAGGAGGAGGAGGAGGAGGAGTAGGAGTAGGAGGAGGAGGAGGAGGAGGGGGAGGAGGAGGAGGAGGAGGAGGAGGAAGGAGGAGGAGGAGGAGGAGGAGGAGGAGGAGGGAGGAGGAGGAGGAAGGAGGAGGAGGAGGAAGGAGGAGGAGGAAGGAGGAGGAAGGAGGAGGAGGGAGGAGGAGGAGGAGGAGGAGGAGACCCTTTCCGCCCAATGTCGAAACGCCGAATACGAACACGTCCACCCGTGTATAGGGCGATCCTTGGGCCCGAGGACCGCTGGCATAGGCCCGACGAGTGCAAGAACTGCCTCTACCACGCGCGGGGCTACGACATGCACCTCGGCGCTCGGGCCCGCGGGGGGAGCGGGGAGCTCGCGCGGATCTTCCTGTCGGTCGACCAGGATCGGCGGCGAGCCCACAGGGGGTCCAGCGACAAGGGGGTGGTGCCACGGATTGAGTGCAACGGGTCTGTGGGGTCGCACTACATCTGGGGCGTGCAACGCATTCCGGGGCGCAAGAGTATCGCTGGATCTCCGCGCGCAGTACATTATCATTTGCAGTACACTGCAATTCAGTTCTCCGGCGCAGTACATTTGTCGGGGGCGGACAGACCCCCCAACAGTGACACGTCGATTAGTGAATTGTCCGTGTTCGGCTCTCGAGAGGGCGCCGCGGCCGTTATGTTCCAGGCTTGCGCCCGCCAGGTTGGGGCCCGAGGTCGTTTTCACGAAACCACGTTTTACGAAAGGGGTGTCTGCCCATCCCCGAATTTGCGATACATTTGCCCCGAGTCTATCGCACCACCCCTCTTCAGCTGGGCCCCCTTTTTGGGGTCACCCAAAAGAATCGGCGGCGAGCCCGGGGGCTCGAGCAGGGGATATCGACTACAGATTGGGCCCACCCAAGAATTGCTTCTGCCGTCGAAGCGACGAGACATACTCCGAGTGTCCCGCGGGGCTGCGGGGCATTCGATGCTTTTTGCCGCAGGTTCGAGGGGAAAAAACTGTTCGGTGGCAAATCAAGTCTGTAGTCGATCCCCTGCTCGAGAGGTGGAAGCGAGAGGGGGCGGGCCGGGCCATATGGCTCGGCCGGCTCGGAAGGCCTTCGGTTCTGAGAAGTGGTCCGAGCCTCCTCAGGAGACAGAGGCGGCTTCTCAGAGGGCGCAGGGGGCCTCTGAGAAGCCCCGCTGCCTTCTGAGAAGGCCTGCCCCTTCTCACTTTCCCCCCGGGTGCGCCGCCGTAAGGAGCCTTCCAAGAAGCTCAACTTGGGAACTCAGTCGCTGTCAGCGAGGAGGCCACCTAGAGTAATCTCGTATTGAGCTGCACGCTCAAATGATGGTATTGCAGGCAGGTGCATGTGTATGTAATATTGCCAGTGCTCGCTAGAGTGTGCGCAGTTTCCCCTTGGTGAGGTTTCTGCTCTTGCTTGCTCTCTGGCCCCGGTGTCATTCTCACACGTGCTTGTGGCACCACGCACTTTGTCGGGTCTGTTTATAGATCATGTTCTCTCGGTGTCACGCTTTGTAGTGATTTTCCATGCTGCGTGAGGGGTTAGATTTCCTCCAGGCACGCCTCTGGCAGACGGACGCCTCTCTTCTCATGAGCCTGCTCGGCGGAATCTTATAACAGGCTGGGTTGTCATGCGTCCCTGGTTGCTGAACCCGCAGAGCGGGAGTCACGGCGGGCCCCGAGGGAAAAGTTTGCACGCAGATTTTGTAACCAGTGGGTGTTAGGGATATTGCCCCGACGAGGGTCCGTATCAATCGTTGCAATGCTTCTCGGGGGCGTATTTGCACCCCTTGGGAGATTAGTTGGCCTTGGAGGCCAGCTAAGGGCGTTTTGGGGTCAATGGGGCACGCTGTGCGAGGGTTGTGCCGAATTGAGGTGCCAAGGAGCCGTCTGGGGGCAAGTTGAGCGCCCAACATTCACGAAGTGCGTGGCTCCCATCAAAATCAGAGGGCAATTCACTAGTACTCTTACGTCTCCCAGGAGCCTGGAGACCCAACAATTTAATTTTGGCTTGCGTGTCCCAGGAGCCTGAGACCGCAGAGCACTCGCATGTCCATTTGTCCTAGTAGAGTGTGGGGCTGCCCCAGTAGCTGTCACGCACATGGGCCGAGCCCTGGGATCGCATTTGATTCGTATTTTCACACGCCCCCAGGAGCATTAAGAGCAGCAGGCATCATCGAAACATATCGAAACAGCACCGGCCGGCGGAATGCGGCGGGGGGGGGGGCCAGCGAAATCCGCGAAGCCGCTCTTAGCATGCCGTATGCATGTTTCTCACTCTCCTCCATCTTGTTCCATCTCATCATTTTGTCTCGAAGGCTGACACGACAAGGGCCCGTAGGGGGCACGCCGAATTGAGCCCGCAGAGCGGGAGTCACGGCGGTTCTCAGGCGGAAGCTTGCACGCAGATTTTGCTGGTGCTCGCTAGAGTGTGCGCGGTTTCTCCTTTGTGAGGTTTATGCTCTGACGTGCTCTCTGGCCTCGCTGTCGTTCTCACACGTGCTTGTGGCACTACGTACTTAGCCGGATCTGCTTGTATATCATGCTCTCTCGGTGCCACGCTTTGCATGCTGCATGAGTGGTAAGATTTCCTTGTGGTACGCCTCTGTCAGACGGACGCCTCTCTTCTCATGAGTCTGCTCGACGGAAAAATATAGGAAGCTAGGTGTTCGTGCGTCTCTGGTTATTGAGCCCGCAGAGCAGGAGCCATGGCGGGCCCCTAGGGGTGGGGCTTGCACGCAGATGTTGTAACCAGTGGGTGTTGGGGATACTACCTCGACGGGGGTCGGTACCAATCGTTGCAGTGCTTCTCGGGGGCGTATTTGCGCCACTTGGCGGATTCGGCGGCCATGGAGGCCAACTAAGGGCGTGTGGGGGTCCATGGGGCACGGCTTGCGTGATGGGTGTGCCGAATTGAGGCTCCAAGGAGCCCTCGCGGGGGCCAGCTGAGCGCCCAACATTCACGAAGTGTGTGGGTGGTATTCGAATTGAGGTTCCCATCAAGCTGGAAGGGCAAGGCACTCATATTCTGACGTCTCCCTCGAGCCTCGAGTGCAGCATCGTGAGTCGTTGCACGTGCCCCAGGAGCCTGAGAGCGCGGACGACCCGTATTTGCAGGTGTCCCAGTGGAGTGTGTGTGTGTGTGGCAGGACGTATGTGAGGGGTGTCTAGAATTGAGCCCTTCGCGGCCCTCGGAGCACAGATCACTAGTTTTTGTCACGTGTCCCAATAGAGTGTGGAGCAGGAATTGCGTGAGGAGCGTGCCGACATGGCAGTATCGTAGCCATGGAGGCGCTGCTGACTAATGTTCTTTCGCGTTCCAGAATAGCTTCAGAGAAGAATGCGTGAGAGGTGCTCCGAAACGAGGCTTTCGCAGCCTTGAGCGCGCATCTCACTTGTGTTTTCACGTGTCCCAGGAGCTGTCGCACGCGCGTGGGCCTCGCGCTGTAGGACCGCGTTTCGCTCGTACTCGCACGTGTCCCCCAGAGAAATGAGGGAACCGGCCGGCAGAAGCCGCGAAGCACCTCCTTGGCACTTGTTATGGATGTTTCTCGCTCTCCTTCGCCGTCCTCCATCTCATCATCTTCCCCTGAAGGCTAACGCCGCGAGGGCCCGCAGGGGGCCGGCCGAACTGAGCCCGCAGAGCGGGCGTCCTTGCGGGCCCCCAGGTGGAGTATGGTGCAGGAGATGCGTGAGGGCTGTCTCATAGCGTCAGCGGCGGTTAACGGCACGAGACAGCGCAATGCACACATGAGGGGGAGGGCGTGGACGAACAGACAGAGTCCACGAAGTGGCGCGCGCGCGCGCTGCAACGAAGGAGAAGGAGCGGGAGCGGAGAGGAGGACAAAGGGACTGCGCACTGCCCGTGGGCCCACGACCGCCCATTGCCATTCCTCACGAGTGCCGCTCCCCCGCGCTGTGCGGTTGCAGTGCAGGGTTGGGTTCTTCGCCGGGACAGGGCAGCTTTGAGCACCGGCGGGCGCAGCATGTGGACCCGCCTGGACGCCGCGCGTGACCCTAGCCCTGCGCATACCACGCCGCGCCGCGCGTGCGAGCACCCGTTCGTGGTGCTTCTGCGAGCGCGCGCGGGCCCGCAGCAGATGGCGAGCGCCTGCCGCCGCTGGTCTGCACATCCCCGGCCTGCCTCGCCAGCTCGGGGATGGACGCCTCGTCTCGCCCAGGCCCCTGCTCTTGGTCCGCCCGTGCCCCTTCTCGGTGGGCGCGCCCCTCCCGCTCTGGGACCGCTCGGGGCTCCCCGCCGGCCAGGAGGTACTGACCGACCGGCCTGGGCGGGGCCGCCGGCGGTCGGCGTGCAGCCTCGCGCGGGGAAAGAGGCGCCAGCCAGATCCCCGGCCGGGACGGGCATCCTCTCGGGGCCTCCTTCGGACATCCTCCTCCTCCTCTTCCTCCTCCTCCTCCTCCTCCTCCTCCTCCTCCTCCTCCTCCTCCTCCTCCTGGAGGGTAGGGACACGACCACCTGTCGGAGCAGCAGGTCGAGTCTCAGCCCGTAGGAGCGGGGCGTGTGGATCCCTTAGCACTCGCTGGCCACGTGGGGTCTGTGGGCCTGTACCCTCACCAATTTGGGGACACGAGTTGGGCCCCCCATTCGTTCAGCCTTGCCGCGGGGTGTTTGCAAACGGGGACCACTTCTCAGGAGCCAAAGAAGGACGTACGTACACGTACATGAGTCCACGCTGGTTTCGAGAGTACGCATTGCCCGAATGTTCGTATCACGCGGCCAGCCTCGCGGATCGAGGGGCCGCGTTCATGTACATAGCTGGGCGCGTACGTCCTTTGTGGGCTCCCTGACTTCGTGAACCGAACTGATAGTCCCTGCTAACCCTCAGCCTCGATCGTCGCCGACTACCAGGAAGCTTGATACGCCTGGTCGTGAGCTGGACAAAAATGTGGCCAAATGTATTTCCAGCACTCGGTCTTCCATGGGCAGGTCGGCTGGCCCTCCGCATATGTACCCTGCGCGTGGCCGCATGATGCTCCTCATGTGAAGCCTGCCCTGTGCGTTGCCAGCTTCCTGATACGACGCTGCCCTTTATCACGATGCCGCCCATGGTTCGAGCTTTCTCTGAATAAACGTTTGCCACAACTAAAGGCTGGGCGTTGAGCCTCGCCATCTAGCGTCGGCGATCTCGCAGCCCCTCTGAGGCTCCCGAGGGGGCTGCCAATCTGGCCATCGGCACCGGCAGCTTTTAACGAGTCATCAGGTGACCCCCATGCTGCGTGGTCTTCTTCTCGATCCTCGAGATTCGAGGATCCAGGTAACCCTTGAAAAGCAAATGAGAACCCCCCCCTCACCCAGTGGACAGATCGAAGCTGCATACGGCGAATCACCGCCGCCCCCTGCCTTTTGGAATCGCCCATGTGGCCGAGCGTTGTGGCAAGAGCTCTGCCAAGCTATCGAACCGTGTGTTCCCCCAACCGTTGTGGAAACACTTCGGGGAACACTTGGGGGAGGATGGCGGGGAAGATCAGGAGGAGGAGGAGGAGGAGGATAAGGAGGATGAGGAGGAGGGGGCATTTTGGGAGCCTCTGGGAGCACTCCTGGGGCCTCCTGGGAGCTTCCTGGGAGCCTCTTGGAGGCATCTTGGGGGCCTTCAGGGGCCTCTTCGGAGCCTCTGGGGGCTTCTCAGGGGCCTCTTGGACCGTCTTAGGGCATTCCTGGCCCGGCTGACGCCTTCGGAAGCCGTCTTGGAGGCCTCTCTGGGCCGGCTTGGGGCCTTCTTGGGGTGCTGCAGGGCCGTCTTGGAGGCCATCTTGGGTGTCTTGGAGGCTTCTTGGGCCGTCTTGGGAGCCTCTTGGGCCGTGCTGGGGCCATCCTTGAGGCCTCTTGGGCTATCTTGGGGCGATCTTTGGGGGCTCTTGGGCCGTCTCGGGCCGTCGGAAGGCCGAAAAGAAGCACATGCCCAAATTCTTCAAAACTTTAAAATCAATGATCTTCGCCACTTCCGGCCTTCCTGGAGGTCCTCTTGGATGCCTCTGAGGCCGTCTTGGGGACATCTTGGGGGCCTCTTGGGCCGTCTTGGGCCATCTTGGAAGCCATTTAGGGCCATCTTGGTGTGCTCCTGGCCCGTCTGACGCCGTCGGACGCCGTCTTGCGGGCCGCTCTGGGCCGACTTGGGGCCTTCTTGGGGTGCTCCAGGGCCGTCTTGGGGGCCATCTTGGGTGTCTTGGAGGCCTCTTGGGCCGTCTTGGGGCCAGTGTGCTGCAGGGCCGTCTTGGAGGCCATCTCGGGCATCTTGGATGCATCTTGAGATCTTGGGGTCCTCTTGGGGCCATCTTGG